ATAACTATTTATCTCAATTTTTATATTTTCACATATAAGATTATTCATATATTATTAATAATGTTTATGAATTTCTTTTTTTCTATTTCTTTACTATTAAATAAAGGTTGAGAAGTAATTTTTTATTTATTTGTTATATTTATATTATGAAAAGTTTAACGAAAGTTTTAATAACTTATTTTACATATGTTTATTAGAAAGAAACAATAAAAAAAAAACAAGATGAGATGATGAACTATATGTAATTATAACTCTAACCTAATTATGAAATTATTCTCGTTTACAATAATATCATAGTTATTAATATGAATATTTAACATAATTATACATCATAGTTTTGGTTTAAAAAATGAGAACAAAATAAATCTTGACATTTCTATTCGACTAAAATAATTTAGTTTACTTATAATAATTCATTTATTTGAGTAAAAACATTTAAATAAAAAAACCTATTATTTTGTTTTTTTTAAATAGATAAATATTTTCTCTATAATTGTATATGTCAATAACACAATCGTTTTTTATTGTTTCTTTTTTTTTTTTCATCATATTTCCTAAAATGAATCAATGTTATATGTTTGTTTCTTATATTGAAATCTTGACATATGATACAGTACATATATGTCATCAATATTATTTATCCAGCTTTTTCTTTGATGTGAGTTTTCTTTTTGTTCAAAACAAAATTTATATGAAAAAAAAAATATTTATTTATGTTTTTTTTCAAAGTTATTGCTTCAAGAAATCACATAAAAATTTAAATAAACATATAAAAGAAAAAAAAACATCAACTATTGTGAATATGTTCTCAACAAGTAATATTTTATTCTGGACTATAGTTATTTGACTATTACAATTATGTTTTACAATGGATATATTTTAATCATAGAAAAGTCTTTTATTAACACCCTTTTCAACACCAGAATATTTTGTATTTGGGATATTTCTACGATATTTTTCATCAGTTTGACATATATTATTTAATTTTTTTAGTATATCATTTGTAAATATACAATTATTTGTCGATAACAACCATATATTTTTATTGAATATTAATTCACAACAATTATCATCATACCAGAAATTGTATTGAATTGTACCAAAGATTTGCTTTTCAAATAGATATCCACCTTCTAATGATTCAATTCGATGAGGTGTACCAGAAGAAAAATCATTAGAATAAGATCGGATAAATATATGAAAAAATTCATGCATCAAATTTACGAGTAATCTTGTATTACTTCTTATTTGGTGGCCACTCATTTCGTCCCATTACTTTTCGTCCCCTTACACTACGTCCCATTCATTTCGTCTCTCGCTCATTTTGTCCCTTTTCATTTCGTCCCAAATTCATTTTGTTCCAGTGTCATTTCGTCCCATACACTTCGTCCCAAACTCATTTTGTCCCGTTACACTTTGTCCTACCGGACAAGTCGTTTCTGACGATTCTACTTAATATACAATATCATGTACTATGATCTTCTACGTTTAATATATTAAATAAAATGAAGAATGAATAATAGTTCAAGAATTTAGTTTCACGTTAGCAGCCACAGGGGCCAGATCTTGCGGGTGAGGGTCACAGCTTTCGCATCGAAAAATACGTTTTTCATCAGTCAATCGGTATTGCATGTACACGAACTTACCATGATACACAATCGGATTTCCTCTTTTACTCTTCAAAATTTCAATATCACCCATCGGTCGTATAGATAGCAACACTTGATTAAATCAGCAGTTACCGGGATTTTTTTTTGGGGATTTTTTAATAAATCTATATACGTTTTTAAATAAATTCCGCACTATTTTGAGGGTGAGGGCGAAGGCGATGGTGAGGATGAGGATGTAGACGCAATTGTGGGTGAGGGCAAAGGGGGCAGCAGTCGAGTGAAGGTGCAAGAAAATCCTGATGCAGCTAATAAATCCCAATAAATCCCCATTAATTAAATAAATCCTAATAAATCCTATAGAAGAAATAAATCCCAAAACAATAAGTCCCGGTAGCCCCTCGATTAAATAGTAAAGAAGAACAGCTTTACGTGGTGAACAATATTTGAGTGTGAATTTTTTTTTTCTTTTCTGTTTCTCTTTCGTTAAAGTTAGCTAATCATA